ACTTCTCTAAAGATCGTGTGCCTCTACAGCGACACAGCATGCTATACGTTTCCGAGGACCACGTTTGGGTGTGCAAAACAGGAAGCGGCACGGAAGCCCTGCTTTGGATACACGCTCTCCCGATGGCTGGACCAGGGAGGGCAGCTCGGTGGGCCCACTCCGTTCCTGGCTTGGCGGACTGGACCAAGCCTTTACGTTTGCTCTCCTCACCGTGCAGGTGAGTCCTGAAGGAGGCGGGCTTCTCCAGGTGGTGGGTGGGTGGGGCTTGCCCACTGCCATATCAGCAGGTGCTCCACACCTGCCCGGCAGTCTCTGCCTTCCCCGCAGATCCCAGCCAAGATGCTCTGCTCCTGGCTGTGCTGGCCGACGCTCCTCGGGTGGGCACTGCTTCTGGGGCAGCCGGCGTGCGGGACGGAGGAGGGCAGCCCCGAGCCAGGCCTGCCGGAGGACGGAGTGTGTGACGACCAGCACCTCATCGATATGATCGTGGACTACCACAACAGGGGCGTTTTCTGGAATGTGCAGAAGTCCGTGGGTGTCAAAAAAATAAGATACCTGGTAAGAGAAGGTGCTGCCTTGGGAGCCCCTCGGCAAAGGGGGGGGTCACGACGCACGGCCTGGGCTGCCTTCGCTCCTTCGCCGAGCGAGCCGGGCAAGCCCCGGGGCATCCGTGTTCCTCCAGGCCCCGCGTGCGCATGCCGCGTGTGGGTGCTTTGACTCCCCGGCAGCACAGCGAAGGAACGATGGGGCTTGGGGTCCAGCACACCTGGGCCAGGTTCTGGAAGGCTGGCGCTGCCCACCCTGGCCCGACCGCGTCCTGCACACGGCGCTTCTGGGCAGGCAGCTCCGACCACTACGAAGCACGCGACTCTGTTGCGCCGCTGCTCTTCCTTCCCGGATGGGTTTTGCTGTGGTCGGAAAAAGGCCAGAGGAATCCCTGGTCATACATCGGGGGGCTCTCTAAAATTCTAGGTGTGGTGCAGGCAGGTGAAGGGTGTTCTCCTCTCCCTCTGCCTCTTCCTGTCTCCAGTGGCCGGGGGGGGGGGGGCAGAGCCCATTCTGGTGGAACAGCTCCTCTTTTCTTTAGTTTGCCGAATTTCCGGAGGCCGCCTGCCCCAGTGCCTTCCTATCCGGGGGCTCTTCCGATCGCCTTTCCGCCTATTCCGCTGTGTCAGCTGGCTTCAGCCCCGCACGCATCTTGGTTGCTGGGCTTTTTGTTATTCCTGGAAGCAAGCTCCCCCTTCGCCCCTGGCCTCGCACCCCTTTTTACAAATCAGAGACAGGCTCCCGGAGTGGCACAGACAAATGAGCCTGGGGACACGTGTGTTCGTCCCTGGTGGGCCACCGCAGCCCCTTGTGGCACCTGCCCAAATGCCAGTTACTTCGGAAAATCAACCTCTGCGTCAACAGTGTGGGGTTTCCCTCAGCCTCATGACCTGCGACCGGCCAAACATTCCTTCGAGCGCTCGTAGGGTGCCTCTGATGCATGATATGTTACCTACTCTTGAGGAAGAGGCGCCCCCCAGATTTGAATCAGGATCCAGCCCTCCAGGTTTGGCTCTTCCCTTGAGGTGCAAACGCCATCCCCTGCTCATGTGGGAAAAAGTGTGGGCTTGGGTGGACGTCTGGTGCCGGCCATCAGAAAGAACCGTGCACCTGCCCTGCCTTTCGGGTTAACAGGTTATTTTTCTTTCTAAAAAAGTATGAGAGAATGGGAGACCCGGGCGCGCCCCATTCTCTCTGCCCCTGAGACAGTGCGGCTGCAGGAGAAACATTTTGGCTGGAGCCACCCCAAGTTTGGAAGGGACAAAGGTGGGAAAGGAACGGGTGTCTGTGCAGAATTTTGAGGAAGCCCTGGAGCACAGGATGGAAAGAGGCTGGATGGTGTCCCACTGTCTTGGGGCCTGCATCTTCAGACGCAGCCACCCAAGAGAAAGGCACTCTGTACATGTTCATGTCCTCTCGCTCAAACCCACCCTCCCTCCCAGAACAGGAGCCCTGCTACGCATGTTTTGCAGCTCGAATTAAGCCCCCGCTTGATCCAATCTCCGCTCTTCCCTGCCCACCATCGCCGCTGGGTTGGCACCGAGAGAGGGTTCTGCGCGGAGAAACATCTCGCACTCTTTCCTTCCAGAAAGCCATTGGAAACCTGATGACCTTCCACCTCTATTTGGCCAAAACCAACTGCACGGAGGAGGACAGGGAAAACTATTACAACCGGCCCCACGAGGCAGCAGAGGGCGCAGTGCCGCGCTGTGCGTTGCCGCCTGTAGCCCAGCAGGAGGTGAGCAGGTGGCCGAGCGGCTTTCGGTCCGGCTGGGGGGGGCGGGGTGGCGAGTGGCCGGTCGCCCTGGCGAGGGCTCGCCCGTTGTCCGAATGAGTTGCGCGTGTGTGCAGTGCAGTGTGTGGCTGGGGCTGATGGGGCGGACGCCCAAGCCACGTGGAGGGCCGATGGCTGCAGAAGGCCTGAGTGCCACGGGGAGGGGGCCGCTCCCCAGGAGCCCCCCCAGTCTGTCTTCCCAGGGTCGCTGCAGTGACCGGGTCATTGTCCCTCAAAGGACAGAGGGCAAACAGTGTTGGCATGGAATCTGGCACAACCAGGCCCGAGTGGTGCTCGGCCCCAAAGCCCTGCCCCTCTGCCTGTCTGCGGGAGCATGATGTGCTACGCTCCAAGCTGGGTCAGGGGGGGGGGGGGGAGCGTCGTCCCTCTGTGTGCTGCTCTGCACAAAGCGGGCCCCCCGCACGCATGGCCCCTCCTGGACAGCCACTTGTGGGGCCGCTCCCCCTTTCTGCCCTCTCCAGGACCCCCTCAGGTAGCTGACAGAATATGTAGAAAGGCAGAGAAGTAGGAAGCCCGGGAAAAGGACGCGTTTAGCTCCAGCAATACAGATGGGGGGAAGCGCCTGGGTGAAGCTCAGCCCCTTGTGCAGAGAGGCCCATGTGGCACGGGGCTACAGCATCGAGGGGCTGCGGAAAGGGACAGGAAGCCTTCTCCGCCCATCCCAAAGCCCCCAAGATGCAGGGGGTGGCGTGGTCATTCCTGGCCCTGGACGTAAGGGTCTTGCCTCCCCCTCTGGCCATCCTGTTTCTTCGGGCGGGCACGGTTGCCGACCCCGGCGCTTCCTTTGCCAAAGCGCTGTGCAAGAGTGCCGTTTCACGGCTGAGCTCACTTCCGTGTAAGCAGCTTGGGGCTGCGGGGACGGAGCTGCTTCTGCTGCCCAGATGTTGTGAAAGGGACTTTCTGCCACTCCGCAGGCTGATGCTTGCCTGGCCACCAATTCCCCAGGATCCTTAACAGCTCCCAGGGACCAGCGTTCTGGGTGCAGGATCGGCACCAGCAGCAGAGGCAACCTGAGCCGTTGAACCAGTGGCATCATTATTGGGGTAGTAAACAAGGAAATCCTTCTGGCTTGGGCAGTGCCAGCCAGGCAGGGGGCTGCCAGGGAGAAGGTCTTTTCCGTGGTGGCACCCGAGCGGCACAGTGCCCTCTGGCGAGGCCGGCTGGTATCGACCCTAAAGCCTTTCCAGCACCGGCTGATGACCTTTCCTTTCCCAGGGTTTACAGCCCACTGGTTTTCAAGGCCGCATCCATGTTTCACCTGATCTCTGTGATGCAGCTAGTTGGTTCGATTCAACTTTATTCTCCGAGTCTGCATATTCAGCTTAACATGTCCCTGTGTATTTCCTGGTGAACCGCCCAGGTTTTCCCTAGCAGGGGGTGCAGAAAAGAAACAAACGACTTGTTTCTTCGGCATCCTACCCCACCCCCCCTTCCAGAACCTGGACTGCAAGTTTACAGCATTCGTGGAGGAGGAGCACAGCTGGAAAACCCTGCTGGACCACTCGTGCAAGCCCTTCTATGAGTTCCGGAGCGAGTGGCTGGACGACTACCGACGGTTCCACCACCCACATTTCCACCGATGGTTCCACTGAGGCCCCCCGGAGAGACGGAAGCCCCCCTCCGCTTGCTGCTTCTCTTCCACGCCTGCCACGGAATCACTTAGATGCGCCCCGGAGACTCCCTGCCGAAGGCGACCCTCGCCATCCCTCCTCCGCCGGCAGATCGCTGCTTCCCTTGTGCTGAAGTAGGAAATAAAACTATCTTGCCCAAGCATTGCCATGTGGTTCGCAGCTGTCTGTCCAGCAAACAGGGGTTCCCCCCCATAACCCTCTTCCCAAGGGCAGTTCCTCCACAGTGCAATCTATTCTTCCGTAAAACACGCCCCGTTCTGCCCACTGCCTCTTGGTAGAACTTCCATATATAGCATCTTCCAAGCAAAAGACCACAGAATCTGAATCAAAAGCCAAATAACTGGGTAAGAAACACTTTTTTAAAAATTACAGTATAAATTTAAACTTGCTTAAAAACAGTCATGCGGTGTGTATGAATGCAAATTCCATGCTGTACTCAGAAATAAGCCCCACTGACTTCGGGCTTAGGCCCAAACAACTAGCTTAATTTGTACTTTCAAAGAAACTAAAAGATATCAGTTAATTCTCCCCTTTCCCAAAATAGGAGTCTCAGGCATTACTGAACTCAGGAAATGGATGAGAAAAAATGTTTTCTTAGCACTATGCATCCCTTAGATTTTTCTTCATTAATTTGCTCATTGTCTAGACCACTATTTGTTTCTGAGTCATATACTGCCTTCTTTCTTTGCTTTTTTAAGAATTCAGTTCGGCTTACACCATTTTCCTGCTCTCAGTCTTATCCCCGCGGCAGCAACAACCCTGTGAGGTAGGCTGGGCTGAGAGCCTGTGACTGGCCCCAAGTCACCCAGCTGGATCCATGGCTGAGCGGGGACTCGAACCCGGATCATGCGAGTCCCATGATTTTCTTCCCTCTCTGGTCCAGGCCAGTGGTCTAAAAGCATGACTTGCCCCTTGACATGTTTTCCATGAAAGGAGGCCAGAAAAAGAAAGCTTCAAAGAGAATTGGCCTCTTTACAAAATCTTTGCAGCCACCTTCACCTATTAAAATATAAAAAGAGCAGAGCCTCAACAGGGTAATTTCTTTATTAAGATAGGCCAACCGATTTGAAGAACCAGCAGGACGCGAAGGATTCACGCGACTCTAATGTTGCATTAAAACTGAAACAGTAATCAATGAGAAGGGCTGGGGAGAGAAAGCCCCAGTTCTAGAAAAGCACGAAATGAGATTTCAGCAGTTGGAACAGATGCCTCTTGTGTTCTTGACTCGTCATCTCTGGACCGCCAACTCCGCACGGAAACCACGGTGCCCAAGACAAGGGACTGTGCTGCTCCGGGCTGGTTTGCAGCTGCAGCGGCGGCGGTGACGAGAGAACCAGGCGCTCCTCAGGCGAAGGTCAGGCGCTCTCAGCGCTGCAGCTCATGTGCACCAGCTGCATGCTGTCCTTCCAAGGGCGGGACCAGACCTGGAATTCACAGATCTGTCTCTGCAGGGGGAGAGAGCAATCCAGACAGTTAGGCCGACGTCCACCCCCGGACGCCCTTGCGCCAGCGATTCCGGCACATGTGCGCTCGGAAGGGCTCAGACAAAAGTTCCAGGCCGAAAGAGGAACGGGCCGCTTGGGTTCAGCACCAACAGCGAAGCTGCAGCCCCTTTGGGTAGCCGTCCTGCACCCCGGCCCCACTTGCGGCTTGCCAGAGTCGGAAACCCCTTGGTGGTTCAGCGCACCAAGCGTTGCGCCCAGGCGCCGCCTCTTGGCCTGGCAAGGCCAGCCACTTCCCCTTTCCTGCCTCCTGCCTTCCCGCTGTGGTGCCTCCAGGCGCCCTCTGCCGCTGCTCCCACGATTCCTGCCCAGCATGGCTTCGCAGGGCCAGGAGCATGGGAAGGGGCTGCCAACCAAGCCAGGCCCCAGGCCCACCTACACGGGCAGGCAGCAGCTGGAGAGCACGACTGCCACGCCGCTGCCAGCACCCCTGCAAACAGAACTGCCAGGACGGCCCTCTCGTGCAAGCCTTCGCTGTGGCCGCACTTGGAATAGTGTGCTCCACTCTGGCCCCCGTCCCTGAAAAGGGACATAGAGCTGGGAAAGGACAGAGAAGGGCAAGGGAAACCACCGGGGGCTGGAGCAGCTCCCAGGGGGAGCAGCTGCAACAACCGGGGCTGCTGAGCTCAGAAAAAGGGGCGAGGAAAGGAAGGCAGGACAGGTGTGTGCAGAATCACGCCCGGTGTGGAGAAAGCGGAGGGAGAGGCGTTGCTCCATGACACCTGAGCCTGGGATCATCCCACGATGCTGACGGGGGGAGGGCTTGGCGCACACGACTGCAGGTACACTATAGAATTTGCTGCCAGAGGAAGTGGTGGAGGCTGCCAATCTGGGTGGCTTTAAAATGCGGGGGGATGGCGCAAACGGGTGTCCTGCCCCGAGTAGGGGCTTGGGCCGGATGGCCTTCATGACTCTATGAAAAAGGGACTGGACAGATTCGCAAGGAAGGAGGCAATCAAGGCTACCGGCCTTGCTGGTCTTGTGCCACCACCTTCAGAAGAGGTTTCCCGTTTTGGCTGCGGGGGCATTGCCTCCGCTGAATGCAACCTTTGCAGCAGAAAAGCTTGTGTTTCGAAGCTCAAAGCAATGAAGCTGGTGGCTAAATTAAGGGTAGTCTGTGTGATTATTTTTACTTGCCAACCTAGAGGATTTTACAGGCAGGGTGACTGAGTGCCTCTGAACATGTATGGAACGCTGCCTATTCCTTGCCTGTCGCTGCATATCTAAGATGGGAGGGTGCATACCAGTGCAGGGTAGGGACGAACAGCACCTGCCCCAGAAAACGGGTGCAAGCTGGGCACGGATCACGCAACCCAGTGACACGATGAAGTAATGTTTAAGCAACGTTATATTAGGAAATGAAGCATATTTTCAAGACGGAGAGGTGGGAGGAGAAACTGGCCAACAGTTCTTGCACAAGGGCCATCTTGTAGCCCGGCACAAGTTGCAAAATACAGACGGTGGGAAAAGAGAAGCCAGAACCGCCTGGACGCCAGTGGCAGCCCAAACCCAGCACGCTTCATGCGCAAGGCGAGCCGCTCCCAAGCGCTGGGGGAGCAGGAGCCGCGGGATTCGAACCAGGCACATGGGCGAGACTTCAGCGCTGTCCTGGACGTCTCCTGAAGAAAGCCCCCATCCAGTGAAAGAGCTGTTGGCAGAAACCGGCGGGGAATCTCGGGACACACAGATACCGCGCCCCCGTCCCAATTTCCAGCATCCTCTGTCACGGCCCTGCCGGGAGGCTCCCCCGGGGCAGAGAACGGAGCTCCCAGCAGGCACCACTTCCAGGGCCAGTCGGGCCTGTTTGTGGGTGCGCCTGCAGCCTTGCGCCCGAAGAATTCCCGACACCCCGAAGAAGGGACCGAGGGAAGCACCCGAGTCGTTTAGCAATGCCCTGCATCACGGTGGTGACGTGTCCCTTTATTTATTACATTTATATCCTCTCCCTGCCCCTCCCGAAAGGACCCCAAGGCACCTTCTGTGATGCGCCTCCCTTCCATTTCCTTCTCACAACAGCCCCATGAGGTAGGCCAGGCTGAGAGGCCGTGACTGCCCAGAGCCATCCTGCGGGCTTCGTGGCAGAGGGAGAACCCAATTTCTGCACCCTCCCAGAAATGCACCACTCAAGGCCAGTTGCTTTTTGGCAAAGAGAACGCTAAATCAAAGAATACGTTTGAGAGAACGCCAGCACTTTAGGCCAATACTTTCCCCTGGAAGTTCTTACCTCTGAACCCCAAAGATACAAAGACCAGCTGTGAGACAGCCCAGTGTTGAGACAAATGCGCTCTGTATATGCTCAGAGCCCTCCCCTTATCTCTCAAGATCTAGCATTGCACTTCAGCTCTAAAAACCGGAGGCTAAATCATGATGTGGCCCCGAGGCAAGAGGTCCCAGCCAAAGCCAGTCATAAATGATCTCACACTATTTTGGATGGGCACAGCCGCTACCCTGCCATCACTGGGGCTTAACGGGAGTCTGGGCTCAGCCCCAGGACCCATTTTCCATGCTCCGAAACACACAAAAGAGGATGTTAAAACACCTTCCACAGATCTTCAGCACATGGGGAAGGTTGAACAACCAAACAGCAGCAAAAGGCAGTCCTTAACCCTCAGGACTGGATCCCGTTCTTCTACGTCTTGCAACAAGGCCTCCCCCAGGCACTTCCCCCTTCAGCTATAAAATTCGAAGATGGCGGGACAAAGAACTAACGAAGAAGGAGCACCAGCTGCAAGACGGCCCAGACGAAGCCGGCAGAACGCTCCCACCAGGAGTCTGACAGCAAGCGTTTCGCTGGGGGAACTGAGTGGGGAGACAAACATCTGCCACATTTCCCTTCATGCCTTCCTGCTTTACCTGAACAACTAGAAGAAGCTCTTCCTCCTCTCAAAAAACTGCTCCAAATAATTGAAGGTTCCATCTGGGGGACCAAACTTGACAGTGCCTTTCTTTAAAGTACATTTATCCTGTCAAAAGCAACAGTGGCCACATTTCTTTTGATTCTTTTTCATTTAGGCACTTCAAAGATGTGATTACCATAACTTGTATTACCCTTACAGACAAATTGTGGATGCTGAAAATCAGCGTGTACAGTTTTTAAGAGAGCAGAGAGCGGATTTTAATCAGGGAATGAAAGCATTAACTTCCCACACCCATACCTTGTCCTCCTGATCTTCACTTCCTGAAGCTGCTCTTAGCCTGCTAGTGGGGAGCAATGGGAACCCTACACCTGAAGGACAATCTGCATCCAGGACGCAGGCTTAAACTCGTTGCAGGAAGCTCAGTCGCTGGCTTAACGTTGCAGAAAACTAGGCACGGGGCAGGGGGCGGTTGATTCAGGGATCACATACCGTGTGTACTGGAAGCCACCAGGAAGGCCTCGGCAGGTACAGGCAGCCTATAGACACGTGTATAAATAAATAAACCCGCCCTGCACTTTGTTCTTGATTCCCCCAGGAGGAACGCTCAGAACTAACTTTATTATTTTCATGTGCCAATGACGATCCTGGATTCAGCTTTGCCCCACTTTCAATGGAAGCCATTTAAGAGCTTCGGTTCAGATGCAGGTTTCTTGCCACTGAATCACAAAATGCGGTTTTCATTTCATTTCATCAGTGCATGAAGCCAAGGTCACCTGTCCCTTTCTCCTTCTAGGGAGAGGAGTAGCAGGCCCCAATCCCTTTGTGTTATACCCAGTCCAAAATAACAAGTAGTTTCCTGTGTATGGCACAGGGGAGCATATAATCCTTGTTATCTCCGACTGACTGGTGATAACAAGGGAATTCCACTGCACCTACTTCCCTGCCTCCGCACAAAGGGGGCAGCGCTCGGTAAGGGAGGTAAAGGAGGCCCACGGAGGGACCTGGAGTCCCCAAGCCACACAGATAGGCTTACGGGCCAGAGGCATCCCCTCCCCCTCCACAGAGGCAGGCAGAAAAGACTCCCCAGGGGTCACCTGGTTTGTGGAATGTCAACAGACCGACTCACGTGGCTGGTCACCAGCTTTAGCAGAGAACCTGCTTCCTGAAAAGCTGCAGGTGAATCATAATTGCACATGGGAAGGAGCAACTTGCAATGTGCAGGCCGAGAGATGTGTCAGGGTTCTGCAATGCTAATGTCACGCTCCTCGGGCCGAGAGATGTGTCAGGGTTCTGCAATGCTAATGTCATGCTCCTCGGGCCGAGTGATGTGTCAGGGTTCTGCAATGCTCTTTTCATGCTCCTCTGGTGGTGCATATCATGAGGAACATGCTGCACAGTGTTAGGGCACCTCCTTTAGAGGAAAATGCTCCCAAGTTCCAACCTCCAGGAAGAGCAGGTGTAAAATTCTAGGGAACGGCTGTCAGTCAGATGAGGCAACCTTCAGCTGGGCAGAACTAGGCTTCCATGTAGAGTAAGGCAGTTTCTAGTTATATAAGTCCTTGTTTCAGAAACATGAGAACTAGAACCTTACTTCACTTTTAGGGGAAGAGCTGTAGCTCAGGGAGAGATTCCCTGCTTTGCATGCTGAAGATTGCAGGTCAACCCCACCAACAGCTCCAGGCAGGGCTCGGAAAGATGCTGGTTGTTCCTGAAAGTTGCTCCCTGCCAGACCAGAAAATGCCGGGCAAGCTGCACCTTGAGCGGAGGTGCTGACAGGGGAAGGGGAAAGAGATGCTGCGCAGCTGACGTTCAAGCTGTTGTGCTGGTATGCCCCAGCCACAAAGCTCAGCAAACCGACTCAGCCGGTCACTGGTTTTCAGCCTGATGCTATAAGGCATTTTGAGGGCAAACACACACCCAAACCCGGGTTATTTGTACGTGCTGCAAAGCTTGGAGAAGGCAGACACACTACAAAAAGCATGCAAGACACAGGGGTGGGGAACTTCTGGACTGTTGAAATTGCCAGCTTTGCCATGGATCGGTCATGAGTTGTGCTCTACCGACATCCGGAGAACCACAAATTCCTCCGGGCTGCCTTAAAGAAGAAAGGACCTTGGCATGCTACCCAGGCCCCCAGAGACATGAGGGAAGTTACCTCAGACTGTAACTGTCTGTCTTGCTCATGGGACCCCAGTGACCCTCTTGCAAATGCATCTGATGATTGTGAGGCCTTGCGGTACAAGAGCAAGCTGTGCTTGTAGGCCACACGCACACAGTCAGGGCCTTGCCAGGCAGAAAGGGGCCAGGAGGGAGAGAAAAGTCTTCAGTGGGACAGCCCCGTGCCTGTGGCACTCCCTGCCACCAGAGGCCAGGGATGCACCAGCACTGCTGTTTCTGGTGCCCCCAAAAGGGCCTTATTCCAGGGAGCCTTCATCAGCATTTGTTTTTCAATGCTGGTCTCAACTTTTATCTTTTCTGTCTTTCAGTGTTCACTACTCTGGAACCTGCACATACAGAAAGTTGCAGGAATGTTCTAAGTTGCAATCAGTACATGCAGCTTGCATGGCTGGGCCACAGAGGAGCCTTCCAGATGCAGAAAAGGGCTTCAAAATGAAAACTGCTCCAGTTTACTAGGACCCCAAGAATGTGCGTTGGGGCCTTGGGAACCCTGTTCCCAAGATAAACTATCTGGACCCCTGCCTGAGTTACAGAACGTGAGAATCAAAGGGTTCCATGTTGAACTCTAGCTATAAAGAGAACTGCATGGGTTACAAAGCCACCAGACTTAAAAGCCCAAACCAGACAAAGGTCACAGTGCAAACACGTTGATGAAAGGCCAGGGGCTAACCTATCTGAAGATGCTTCAGATGATGATTCCCGAGGTGGAGGTTTGGATAGCCATCAATCCGCTCACCTTCTGCTCATTTGCTGGGGGCACCTCGCAGTGTTCCAGGTCGGCTTGGTTCAGTCCTGAGCCACCTTTCTTTTCATACAGTGTGTTCACCAGCTCCATTGTCAGGTAGTACTTAATTCCTTCCACCACCTGTGTGTTGGGGGGGTGGGGGGGGAAGAGCAGGAACATCCTTTTTGTATGACGATGGATCAGATCAATAATTTGGAAAAAGCAGCAGGTTAAACACCTGGATCAGAGGCCCTGCCCCAAAATGTTTGACCATCCAGAGTCCAGCATGGTACCTTCACGCAAGGAATGCAGCTATATGCATATAAAGTCAGTTAGGAAAAGGTGCTTTCGACTTAACAGAGTGCGGCATAACAGAGCCACAAAACAAAAGCTAAGTGTGTTTCTACCACACACAACACATTACTAGGTGTGCCGGAATAGCTCCCTCCTGACTCACTGAAACTTAAAATTAGAGTGATACTAGGAACACACCTGAGTGCGCCGAGCACACTTCCCACACCTAGAGACCTTCAGAAGTTTTGAACTATAACTCCCAGCATCCCCCAAACTTGCCCCCAGATGCTCCAAAGGATAGTTCCCAAGAGCTGGGGCACAGCAAGCGCTCAGGAAGAGCGGCGCTGCATCGGCCTCGGGGGGCCCAGGAACGGGCCCCAACCTCCGCCCCGGGCCCCCGGCCGCTTCCTTCGACCGCCCACCGCGGGGGGCACGTACCTGGCTCTTCGCGTCGAGGATGCGCAGCGCCTTGTAGTAGAAGAGGCTGTTGCTGGCGCGGTTGTAGGCCTCCACGGCGAAGGCGGCCGCCTTCCGCACCTCGGGATCGGCGACGGAGCGGTCCACCAGGCCCCCGGGCATGGGCACCCGGCTCGCGGCGAGCGCCGGCAGCAGCAGCAGCAGCAGCGGCGGCAGCAGCGCCAGGGCGAGGGCGCCAGGTGAGCGCGGCAGCGGCGTCATGGCCGGAGCGATCGGAGAGCGGCGGCGGAGGGGGCGGTGCCACAAGGCCGCGGCGGCCACGCCCACGCAGGAGCCGGCCAATGAGCGGCGGGGGCGGGGAGCTCGAATGGGCAGGTGAGGGCCGCTGCGCCACGCCTCCCGGGGAGCCGCCCCTGCGCCGGGCCCCGCCTCCCCCCCCCGCCGCCCCTCTCCTTCCCTCCTTGCGCGCCGGAGGGAAACCCCGCTTCGTCCTTCGGTCCGGACGGTGCTCGGTTTCAGCGAGCGCGAAAGGGAAGCTGCACATGCGCAGGGGGCCGCGATCTTCGCCTTGGCCAAGCAAGAAGGCTCTGGGGAGGGAAGCTGCTGCACGCGGAAATTCCCCGCATCAGACGGCCTGATCCCAGTGGGATTTTCTCCCGAGGCGAGATGGAATGCTGCTCTGGAATTCCGCTGCTCTGGAATTCCGCCCTTCAGTCCCTCAGTCTGAAGATCCTGATATGCATGAAAGCTGAGCTAATTCTCCCATGCAAACCAGGAGAGGCCGATGCTGAGCATGACTCCTGTAAGAGCCGCTTGGCAGTGTGGGGCCAGTTAATCCTCTTTGCCTGCCGCATGGCAAGGGATTCCCTGGATTCCTCTGGCCTTTTTCCAACCACAGCAAAACCCATCCGGGAAGGAAGAGCAGCGGCGCAACAGAGTCGCGTGCTTCGTAGTGTCCGGAGCTGCCTGCCCAGAAGCGCCGTGTGCAGGACGCGGTCGGGCCAGGGTGGGCAGCGCCAGCCTTCCAGGACCTGGCCCAGGTGTGCTGGACCCCAAGCCCCATCGTTCCTTCGCTGTGCTGCCGGGGAGTCAAAGCACCCACACGCGGCATGCGCACGCGGGGCCTGGAGGAACACGGATGCCCCGGGGCTTGCCCGGCTCGCTCGGCGAAGGAGTGAAGGGAGCCCAGGCCGTGCGTCGTGACCCGCCCCTTTGCCGAGGGGCTCCCAAGGCAGCACCTGCTCTTACCAGGTATGCCAGTATTCTGTCATCCACAGACATCATGTATGAAGAAGCCCTGCCCCCCAGCTGGCCCACCCACCGCCTGGAGAAACCCGCCTCCTTCAGGACTCACCTGCGCGGTGAGGAGAGCAAACGAAAAGGCTTGGTCCAGTCCGCCAAGCCAGGAACGGAGTGGGCCCACCGAGCTGCCCTCCCTGGTCCAGCCATCGGGAGAGCGTGTATCCAAAGCAGGGCTTCCGTGCCGCTTCCTGTTTTGCACACCCAAACGTGGTCCTCGGAAACGTATAGCATGCGGTGTCGCTGTAGAGGCACACGATATTTGGAGAAGATGGTGGTTGGGAAAGGTTAGAAAAGCCCACAATTTTTCAGTCATCAGCAAAATGGTTGCAGTGTGTTGCCCTCGTCAGCCTTAACTTCTGTCCAAACGGGCAGAATATGGTGACGTTAAAAAGCCATCTTGTTGGAGGCGGCTGCTGACAAATCTTTTCCCAATGCTCATGAAGTGACCTTCATGGGTGCTTGGGTCACAGTGAAGGTGGCAGGACGGGTTGGGCTGGGGCAGAAGGTAAATCTGGCGCACCTTCCAGGTGCTCGGAGCGTTGATTTGGCGGCTTGTGTGTCGGCGCATCATGCGCCCTTAATGCACTTTGGCCGTGCCCGCAGCGATCCGTGCCAACCAAAGCCCCGTGAATGGCTCCTTTGAGCGGCCCCCGTCCTTGTTCATTGTTCCACGCGCTTCCGGACACTCTCTTATCTCATCGCTTGGGCGAGTTGCCCCGCTGCCCTGGGCGTGTTTGTCTTGGGCTGCATGGAGGGGATCGAGCGAGGCACCTGTGCCGGACGGGGCCTGGCCACGGTCCAGGGGCAGGCAGTTCCTGATGAGCAGGGAGCGCGCGGTGAGGTCCCGATGTCCCCGAAGACGCGCCCATGCGTGGCAAGGGAGGCGGACACAGCTGCTCTGCAGGAGGACCTCCCGGAGGATGGGCCCTTGTCTGCTCCGAAGCCCTTTCCCGGGGACTGGAAATTTCCAGTGGCCGGGCTCCTCTTGCGTGAGGGTGGGCACGGGGCGCCCTGTGCCTCTCCCCGGAGATCGGCCCTCCTCCTCTCCTCAGCGCCGCGAGGGTCCCGTGGCGAGGCTGCTGCCGCGGAGTCCAGCGGTCGCCCTGCTCCTGCCCTGCAGCGCTCAGCCCGCCCTGTGGCGCTTGCCAGGCCACGCGGCCGGCGTCTCGGCCATCGGCGGGGCTCTGCTGGCATG